CTAACTAAATTTAAATCTCAGATCAAAAATACTCTTATGAATAAGGGCTATTATAAAGTTGATGATTATCTAAATGATCGTAATGCATAGACATAGTGTTTCTTATAATTTGATATTAAATGGGTATTAGTCATTTTTCATAACAGTAATATTGTACCTATCTAATGCCGCTTCCTATATACTACATATAATGTTAACTATAAAATTAATTGTAACTATATATTTATATTCTAGATGATGTAATGGAAAGTGACTTCAAACGTATTTCTGAAGTAATTTTTCAACTTGACGACACTGTATATAACAATACAGGGAGAAAAAAACAGCCCTTGCTGAGTTTCTTGCCGGTTCTTCTCAGTGCAAGGTCTCCCGCCGTAGTTTTGTGAACCGATGGCGTAGCTTCTTGACCTTCACAAGTGCTTGTAACAGCCTTGACTGAATAAATGACATTTCATTTCATTTCATGCGAAGAGATGGCGCTGCCGATAAAGTTCGACACGGCCGTCGGGGCCGCGGTAGCATAATGGTCAGTGCATTCGCCCGGATAGCGAAGGGTGCGGGTTCGAGTTGCGTCTGCTGCCTGGTCCGAGTAGTTTTTTTTTTCTAGTAAACTTTTCTTTAGATTTAAACATCTAGCAGTTAAATGGTTAAAAAAACATAACTGTTTTAAGTATTCCAATAGCAGTTAGTAATCTTGTTCATATTACTATATAAATATGATCCAGGATTCCAATAAGATTTATATGAACTAACAGGGGCCCGCGGTTTCGTCTCCGTGGTTCACCTGAGGGATGATTGCTCAGATAAAAACTATCGTCTATACCAAATTTTATATAAATTAGTTCAGCGCTATGAGCCTGAAGAGGTAACAGACGGACGCACTTTCGCATGTTTTAAATAAATATTTATAAAAGTGGTTATTTTTTTTCCCCCGCTAAGAAGTCATCCAAATTCTAAAGAACCTTCGGATATATGAAGGTTCATCATCAACCACAACAACAAAAGATTCTAAGTTGAATCAGCTCATTTAACACATTTCGATTCTAATAAGAAAATCCTTTTAACACGACTGCCCAAAAAATATTGTTGTGTCATAAGGCTTGCTTTCAGGACTACACGGGGTAGTGGATAGACTTAGGGTAGGCTCCACACGACTGGTATTTAAGAGGCTTTTATGACATCCTCTTTAAATAAAAATAAACGTGAGTGTCGTGGAACACTTGAATGAAGTCAAAATTAAACTACTATAAGAAAATAGTACTAAAGTAAACTTCCATTGATGGAGGAAATTACCATTTAAAAAATACCATGAATGAGTAAAAGCTAATAGAAAAACTACACTGTAACAGAGAAAACCACAGAATACAGAAAGAGGTTAGAAGGGCAATCATACACTATTTGTCCGTCCGACATCCGAACCAAAGTCGGCGGCTCGCCCTCACTACACTTCCAACTAATAGCCAATCAAACGGCGCGACATCAAACATTCGAACCAATCGCTCGCTCCCGAGAGAAACGACTCAATCATAACCAAGTTTTGGTCCAGTTATGAGCATTTGCTCACACATAACTGTAGCGCGCCTGCCCCGCCCACAAGGACCTTATCACCTCTTTCTGTGTTCTGTCAGAGGCACTTCTGAGGCACAGGGCACAGGCCTTCCCTATGGATGAAATTGGAAGAACGGACATTTAACAACCACGCAAGCCAATCTAACGGTTTGTTTTGTGCTAAGGGTTGCAGAACTGGATTGCAACTGGACTGGATACATGACGTAGCACAGAGAAGCACTCGATATAAATTTTAATATATATTTGTAATTGATTTTATCAGCATCTCTTCTCTATTAGACAAGTCCGTCCGTCCGTCCGTGGCGCTGTTTCAGCGGCCAAACCGTAAGAGATAGATAAAGAGAATGTTAAAGTTATAAGTTGAGAATAGTCTGATAAGACTACAAACCGGATGTGAGTAACGTAGCACTTCCGGTTTTCGAGAAATCACGTGATTTCTATTTCAAACGAAACCACACAAAATCTCCGAAGTTCTCAATTAATTAAATACATTTTATTTTTTTTTTTTTTTGGTGAACATTTGGTTTGTTAGTAAATACTAATGTTTTAATGTCAAATTTATAAATTTTTAAATTATATAAATTTATGGTCATACCAGCCAGCGTTATTTGAAATAGACGTAGCACATGGTGGACATTGACATGGTGGGAACTCGTCATAATGGGCCTATTTTTCAAGTAGGCTTGCAAATCGTGGTCGTAGTAGTCGTAGATTTGTGAACCGATGGCGTAGCTTTCGACTTACATATGTGCTTGTAAAAGTCTAAACTGAATAAATATTGAAGTTGGATTTGCAAAGTTGTCCGTTGGTACGAAACGCTTAGCCTTTATTACCTTTATTAGTTTTTCATTGTCAATGTCAAGCTCTACTCGTGCAGTAATCCCGACTCTCTACAATGGATCCTTTGACTCGCGCCAAATACCAACTAATCAAGTAGCAGTGGACATGAGGGTAGTTATACACATAATCGGGCCGGCATTAGAGTCTGTGCGGAAAGAGAATGGGATTAAGATTGGAGGGCGCTGTAGTGCTTTTCTACCGTATTTGTAAGGTTTTGTTTTTTTAGACATGATTAAATACAAAAAACCGCAAGAAATCACAACAACAAACAAATCCGTATCAATACAAAACTTTGACGTTTTACAGATTGCTGGGTTTGATTGCCAAATAAAAATCTTAATGTTAGTTCCGTTTTTCGCCACGCCCATTCTCTTTCCGCACAGACTCTATCAGTTCGGTAGTATTTGTTGAAGAACAAAGCTGACCTGGAGTAATTATAGCCGAACATTCATCGTTTCTGACTGCTGTCCTCTCTGCTCTTCGAGTGGTATAGGAAAACCACTCGAAGAGCGTGTGGCAGGGCTTTTAGAGTGTGCAGTCATAGCAAGGCAAGCATATGAGCAGCGAGTTGTGTGGGTTTTTATATGTTACCAAATGATCTACTCGCCTTCCGCGCATGGTGAACTTGTGAGCGAGGCGATCTTGAGTTGGTGTAGTGAGCGCATGTTCATAGAAGTCTATTTTTAAAGAAAAATAATCAGGCGAGGCGGTTTTGGTCTGACTTTAATGAGCAATGACCTTAAACAGTAAATTGTTAATTTATTTATTTATTTATTTAAGATTAAGATTAAGAGAAGGTAAAGATTTAAAGGTTAATTTTCTTTGATTATACCATGCAGATGGAAACAACGACGGTAGCAAATGCACCCATTTATTTACCTTATCTAAGTAATTAGCTGAGAATTTTGTTTCTAATGATAAAAAGCTCACAATAAAATCAATTATAATTTTAGTTAGGTTCGGCATTTCTTTGTTATTAAAAGCAAAATATTTTGGTGTTTTAAAATAATTATTTGAGGTGTTTATTTCGTTCATGACCAACGATATCAAAAACCAGTCAAACAAAACTATAGTTTTGTAGTTTTGCTATTCGCCAATAGATGGCGCTTGTTTACTTAATATGATATTGGCACTTTTGTACTTCGAAATTAAATTATATTCATTAAATATATTCGTTATACGATCTGTTTCAATTAAATGACGAATTATATTTTGTTTTCCTTTTTTTAAAGGTTTGGAACATCTAATAGGTACGCATAATGTTAAAAAACTATTCTAGGTGTCGCTACTGTGGCGAATGAGAAAAATAGTTTTGATTAAAAAAAATATATTATTATTGATATTCTTATAATAACATTATTTTCTTTAACGTCTTTGAAAATTATTATAATTAATAGTGAACTTCAGAAACCACTTAAACAAGATTTTTTAAGTTTCCAACTTATACCACTAGGGGCGGACTTTAAGTTCACCCAGCCAAAAATGGTCTCTTTCCATTAGTTACCGCTTATTCAGAGCATTTCGACTGCGAGAAAATTTTCCACTCAAACCAAGTCTTATCTTTACTGAAACATGCCACTACCGATGTTCGAAAAATGTCTAATTAAAATGAACAAAATACTAACAAGCTATACGAAATTAGCGATTTCACGCAATCAAATTATCTTGATGAAGGTGGAGAATGAAATTTTCCATTGCGCGAGCATTCGCGAAGTACTTAGTACGAAGAGTGATGAGTATTTCGGAATATCTCAATATTTTTATTGCCTAACTGTTGTGTAACAAGAATGTTTGTTAAATTATTTGCCGTTGCGCTATGTGTCACTATTTGTAATGTCGGTTTGACGAACACTGAAAGTTGGTACACTTTTTTTATGTATTATACCTAGATTTAAAATTTAGGGTCAGGTAACAAAATTTTTTCAACAATTTTGCGTCATCAGATTTGGCGACTTCACAATGAAGTGTAAAGTGAAATTTAAATAAATTTGAGGAAATCCCCTGGCAAAACTAACAATATTCCTCATACTATTCTGTTATGCTTTCAGTAATGTAGTGATTTTGTTTTTCACATTTATTCAGACAAACGACTTAGTATCAGGTGGTCTTCCTGATGGTAAATGGTAACTGCCTTTTATGGACACTTGCAGCAGCGGTACCACCCATGTGTTGTCGGAACTGAAGCAAAAGGTTTACCTGCCTTTCCAAAACTATCCTATTACAGCTAAGAGGGGAAAACGCTAAGGCTTCCCTTAGCGTTTTCCCCTCTTAGCTGTAATTAGCGTTTCAAATCATTCTGGTCCGCAAGAAAAAGAAACTTTGTGCTGGACTAGCATATTATAGAAAAATCGAAGATTAGTCAGTACCGTGTACGCTCACTCAAATCCCAATGGCTGTATGGAAGCCTTGCTGCTCTGACAGTAGGGATTCTTCTTCACCAGATGCTAAGCGGCATGGAGTGCAGGCACGAAGATAGATGGTGCAACAGTTTTACCTGCTTTAATTGAATAGACTGATGCTGGTGAATAAAAATCTGAATTCTAACGCTTCTTCAAAAATATAACACAAAAATCTTTATTTTATTCTTACAGCGTACGACCTGATCATCATTCCAGTGCCCAAAAACGTTCCAGTTCGTGGGAGTGTTCTAGAACTGACTGCGTCGAAAAGGCCTCGTGATCGTCGCAACAAGAAAAACAGAAAAAATGTTTTGCACAGGCTTGATATTGAGCACTACGAGGACCCCACAGAAATGCCTGACATTGACAACATAGACTACAACGACAGAAGTGATATGAGAGATGCAAATTATTTTTCATATGACAACAATTATGGCGAAGATAAGATTGTGGGTGGAATTGAAGTTGACATAAACCTGTACCCTTACCACGTGTCTTACGGTACCAACTGTGGCGGCGCAATTATTGATAAGAAATGGGTTCTCACCGCTGGACATTGTGGGTAAGCTTCTTATTATTTGTATCCGGCCACCTTTAAATATTTGGCGAGGAATACTTCATTCTTTATCATCATTATTATCGTATCAGCCGTACGAGACCTACTGTTGAGAATAGGCCTTGCCCAAGCATCTCTATCACCGACCGGCTTTGCGACATTCTTCATCATAGTGAATACAAAGATTTGTAATTGGTAATTAACGTGTGACGTATTAATTTAGATGATCAAAAGCCATGATAGATGTTAATCATAGGAGTATTTAAATACATTCCACAATAAATTAAAACATTTCCATTTTCAATTCCAAAGCAAGAAACCCTACGTAAAAGTTGGGTCCAAATATCTGAACCAAGGGAAAAAAGTCGATGTAAAAGCATATCATGTACACCCGAATTGGGGAGCGAAGAACAAGGAGCATCCCTTCGACTACGACTTCCAACTGTTGGAATTGAAACAACCGTTGAAATTTGACGAGAACATTCAAGCAGTTAAGCTAGCGCATATCGAAGACATGGTCATTGGTAAAGTGGTTACAGTTACCGGATGGGGTAACACAGAGGAGAATGTAAGTTTCAATAGACAATACCATTTATCTTAATAAGGTACTGGCTGACTTTACAAAAAGGTAAAAAAAAATAAGACTTTGAATGTACCACTAAAACTGAAATTTAAAAGGGAAAACTTTCATTATATAAAAAAAAATCATTCATGATCAAAAACGACAGTATTAACTGACCTATGTTGTTGTTTTAAAGAAATATTATTGAGTGTTTAGTTACTATGTAGTTTAGTACTAATAGTTTACTCCCCGATAATCAAGGACAAGTTGAACAATTTACAATTGAATAGCTGTAAGAAATAAAAAGAAGTTTAATCAAAAGAATTATCAATAAGTCGCAAAATAAGTGAAATAACGTTTCTCGTGACTAATCGTGCATGTAAGCAATTTACTCACAAAACGTGCGAATTAAAAAGATTGTAAATTGAAAGTCGGTTTGTTACGCTTCTAAAGTTACCAGGCGAACATTTTATGTACCTTTTAAGAAATATATTGTTTTCACTATTAGCTAAATCGATGCCTCCATTTGAACTTTTACCTTCAGCTTCAGTTTCAGGATGACTTAAAAGTCTACTTAATGTCTACCAACTATATGAAAGAAATTGTAGGTCTGGACAAGTGGCAGTCATTCTGTTCTATACAGCGAATTTTTTTACGATTTTTGAATAAAACACGTAATCCTTAAGCTATGTGTTTGTCAAATATTTGATTGATTTATTAATTTATGTTATTCTTTTTTACCAAAACACAGTAAATGGCGGACTTAATTCCATAGGCATTCTTTACCAGTCTACCAGAAAGGGTGAGGGAGACGAATGTTATGCGGAATTAAAAGCTGGCGATACCTAAATTTTTAAGTTTATTGCTAAATTTATTCTTATTGTTCGCTAGAGTGAAAGACTTCTTTAAGACGTCTAGTATGCTACCCAAGGCAAGGACAGAACTAGTTTAGAAGCTTTTGTCAGGATTGAGATGGCAATCAGACACTATTGATTTCGAGCAATCACGACATTTTTAACTCTCAAGCTGCCGAAATCTTTCATTCTCTTTCAGATATTTATTAGCATAACTTCATCCAATCCTCCAAAGGTTCTTATATGGTGTGAATGTATACAATATGTGTAAAGCGAAAATTTAATCAGTTTAATAAATCGCTTTGGTTTCTGCCATATCAATTAATATGTCAGAAAAAGCTTTGATTCTATTGTTGCTTACAAAAAAATCTAATTACTATCAACTTGAAGGTTACGACAACACAAAATTTATGTGATGATGTCTCAATTAAAATTAATTGTGTAAATGGTTTCTGTGTACCTAGTAAAGGAGCATTTTCCCAGTAATTTGTATCGTAATAACTACCACTTTAGCTACGTGAAAGTATTGGTATCCCATACAAACGTCGAACTCCCGTCTTACCCATTTAGGAGGTGAGTTTTCGAAAATCTTTCTTCAGCGCAAGCTACATAGTAATAGCTATATGTATGCCGAATTTCAGCGAAATCCCTTTAGTGGTTTGAACTGTGCATTGATATATAAGTTAGTCAGTAACGGGTGCCTGTTACATATAGAAGACTAGTAAGAGTTATGCCGTGAAAGATCAAATTACAAACATTTTCTTTCTCTATATCTCTAATGGTAACGTTTTATGATACAGGGTCCCTATTCAAATGTACTGAGGGCTGTTAGAGTACCCATCATATCGAAGGAGAACTGCCAAAACGTACCTTTCCCATACTTCAGGGGTGGACTTACTTCTAGAATGTTCTGCGCTGGCTTCTCGGAAGGGAAAAAGGATGCTTGCCAGGTAAAAACTTTTGAAACTTATGACCAACTTTTATTGCAACAAATACTTGTAAGGGTACAGGTACTTATAAAAGAATGTTTTTATATTAAAAGGGTTGCGCTTAAAATTTTCTTAAGTTTAGTTGATATTGAATCATCACTTGATTGGTATTTCTTATAAAAAAGGTAAAATTAAATTACATTATAAATGAAACCCCAACAGAGAGCAATCATTGTTTAAAGCAGCACTTGATTGCTTTTTCAGGCTACGCCAATAGATGGCGCTGTTACAAACTTATTGATATTAAAAATATTTCTGACTTCAGAATGCCCATTTGAATGCTGGCGTTAAACTAGTGATAGTTGCTTGTTTGTTTTAATTATTAATTACCTACTGTCAATTTACAGGGTGATTCTGGTGGTCCAGCGGTTGCCTACGATCGTTTACTTGGAATGGTGTCCTTCGGATATGGCTGTGCAACACCAGGCTCCTATGGTGTATACTCAAAAGTCCCTAAAGTCCGTAACTGGATCGAAAAAGTCACCGGTCTCAGTTTCCCTTAAAAAAAAATATTATTAAAGATTGCTTTTGAAGTCTGAAGTTTTGAAATTTTATTACAAAAAATATACTTTTATTTGGATTATTTTCCCCCTGTTAGTTTGATTGCCAATAAATGGCTATTTTAATAATTCACTCTTTAGAAAAAAATATAATTATTTTTTTAACATTGAACAAAATAAACTGTTACTTATCGTTAGATTAGGTTTCCTTCTAGTAGGGTATGCAATGATGATTGTTGAATTAATGTGATGGACTCTAGATGGAGCCACCGAGGTGCCAGGAACCTTTTAAAGGTACTCAGTTGCAAGTATACAAATGACTATTCCGACATGGTGATAAATATCGTTTATTTATTTTTGTTAAGAAAAGCACCCAAAACTCCTTTTTTAAAACATAATACCTATAACTATATCACACAGAATACATATTAGTACAAGTGTGTTCAGGCAAGTTTTCCCAAAAACCATTGTAGGTAAATACAGTTTCAAATAATGTCCATTTGCTCTGAATACATTCTTTATAAAGGATTATTTATTGCAGAACAAGTATCTTAATTTCAAATTCTCATACATGTGGGGATATAGCTCAGTGGTAGAGCATTCGACTGCAGATCGAGAGGTCCCCGGTTCAAACCCGGGTGTCCCCTTAAATCTGTTTTTACCTTTTGTTTTCGTTTAATTTTTTTTTCATTTAATGAACTTTGAACCATTTCAAAAATTATCAATACTAGTTTTGTAAAAACATAGATAGATTTGTAGAAAAATTTATTTTATTTCTTTAGGGTAACCTTTCTCGTGTCAACCACAGGTTTCTGAATCGTAAATTTTTTATCGACAAATTGATTCGTCGCGTAGAAAAGTATTTTTTAATAAAAATGCCCATGAAAACGTATTATTTTTATGTTGCTCGGAGCGCGTTATTCCAAATATTAATTTTTCATTTATGTGCTGTGATAGTGCACGGGTAAAAAGTACCTACTTATTATTTTTATTTCACGATAAAGCTATGCCACTATTTAAAATAAGACTTTAATTTTGGGTTTTCTGTCTTTATAAATTCATTCTGTTTGAATAGGTACTTAACGAGTTCTTTTACAAAAATGCGCCGCTGCCATACTGATCGGCGCGTAGGTAGATTTGCACTAGCTTAAATTGCATTTTACGGGTGATGTTTCGAGTCTCATAAAATATTTATAAAAATATATACATATTTCAGTAGTTCAATGATGGTAGATCAGTTTTATGAAATTTTTGATAGTAATTCTATTTAATTCAATATCAAAATACGAGGAAAACCTACATTATTTTTTGGGAAAACTCACGGAGGTTAGATGTTTTTTTTTGATAATTAATGAGATGGAAAATCAAAATTCTAATATATTATGTTACAACAAAAACATATTTCTGATGTCGTAGTAATTAATTTGATCTAATTTATTAAACATTATTTAGAGATTCAGGCGTTTGAAGTTGTGAACATTATCGTTTTTTCCGTAAACTAGCTGCGGTAGAACAATCAGTACAAAAAAAGGAAAATAGTATTTGCAAATATACTACATTAACTTACAATAAGAACTACTGTTTACTTCTATTGGAAATAGTCAAAATCTTTTCTAAGGGGGTAAACGAGGCGCTCAAAACTTACGATCTTTTGCAAAAAATGTGAAAGGGCTCTTAAAAAGCTCTGTAATAACATGACATGTTATGTGCCCCTACAAGAACCTAGGACAGGATGGCTTGACTTGCTGGGACCGATCGCCTAATTAAAATAAATACTATTATGAAAAAGACTTGTGTTTAGGATGGCCTATGGATAATGACCATTTTTTTTTCTTCGTAGGTAGATTATCAAAATATATTTTGAACAAGTATTTTTCTGTTATCACAGAATCACAACATTACAGAGTCAATTAATGTGAAATATTGCATGACGTCACAAGGAACCCTTATAGTTTCGTCATGTCCGTCTGACCGTCCCCAGATTAGCTTCTAGTCAGGACTATTAAAAAAATAAAAACATGATAATAGTACTTTTCATGAACTTTTAAGGAAAACTATAACGGTTTAGATAGATTTGTTAGTTAATGAGAAATAGTCGATCAACTTTTGTTAAAGAAATTTTCTTACCTATTGAAAATTCCTTAGAATAAAACATTATTAGTGCCGTAGATGAAGTTATTGTAGCGTAAAACCTTGCATTGCAACCAAATAAAAAATAAATTTATTTTAAAAATCACAAGAAAATATCATTAGTTCCGCAACGCTACCGCGAGTACCAACGGCAACGTCTTCCGCGTTAACGTTACGTTTTTATAAAAAATATCTCATCATCATCATCAACAGCCTATCCTAGTCCACTGCTGGACATAGGCCTCTCCAATGAGGGCTATCGCGTCTGAAACCGCCGCTAGAGGCGCTTGTGTTGCGTGAGGTCTCCGAAATGTCAAATGTTATAGCTTGCGGGTTGACTACGCGGTTTTTTTCTAATTAAAATAATAGTTGTGAATACTTGGTAATAAATCAGACTTATTATGGCAAATATGAGTTACGTGTCAATGATTGTCAGTTATTTAAAAGCGGAGCTAAGAAAAAATATTGTCCTTCTTTTTTCCGAACAAAACGGGACTGCGCAACACTGTGGCATGGGCGATTATGTTTAAGATACGATTCTTTTGTATTAAAATGTAAACTTTGATATCACGAGCGTGTTTACTAACTTTAAAAGTTACACTTCAGGACCTCACTCAACAGTGGCGCCATCTGGTGAGAAGAAAATCGATAGCCCTCATTGCACGCCACCCAGATTGAAAATATCTAAGCACTTGAAAAGATCGGCGGTTATCCCCAGACTCGTCTTTCCCAGTGGGCACTTTGGGAAAGTGCCCAGGGCCCCGTGATCGATAGGTGGGCACCTTAGATCACAAATACAAAGTCCCTAGTTCTTGTTAGATCACCAAACGGGGGTCATAGGGGCGCCATTATCCTAATATGCCCAGGGCCTCCAATAGGTCAAAGACGGCACTGGTTATACCGCATCATCCCCTCGTCGGGGGAAAATCGCTACAGATAAAGCTTTTAGTCAGTAAGAGTCTGACATAACCTTGTAGCCGGCTGTAGGGTATCCATGAGGATTTCACACCCACTCCCCCCCCGCTTGGGAGGAAACAAAAAAAATCGGCGGTTATCATTCGTTTTTGCAAAAAACATCGAATTGATTTTGAGTTTGAGACGCAGTTTGACTTTGATTTAGGTATTTTAGTTCAGATACACAGATTGATGATATTACTTGGTTTTTCTAATTTCCGTTATAGAAAATAAAGACTCCTGCTCAAATATATTGTGGCAACTACAGGTAACTACTGAACTCTACACTGCGCGTGGCACGACACGCACTTGGCCGTTTTTACTTAGAAGGGACGCCATGAGCCCGCACTCCCAAACTTTGATGCGCTTTGACTTTGTAATTTATTGGTCGTTTGACAAAAGAATAAAATACGTGTCCATTATTTTCTAATAATCTGACTGACGGATAAAATAAAATTTCGTTTACATTTACCCCATCATCACCCCTTACTCTACAAAATGACGGACCACTTCCGTGGTCGAGTGACATGCTCGTCGCTGGTTTAGATTAATCTAAAAAACTACCTAACCAATCAATATGGACTAGGGTCTGGTGTTTAGGGTATTTTTGGATACCATCTTATTTCAATTATATGTGCTTCAGTTACTTGCTTATGGCCTGCGCAGACGAGGAACTTTTGTCCGCGGATTATTTAATTTTATTTCTTTTTAACACCAATTATTAGCCTAGCCCCAAAGTAAGCACTGTAGGCTTGTGTTATGGCATACTTGGTTAATGGATAGAATACAATATACTGATAAATATATGTATTTGTGTATATATATCTATATGAAACATCCATGACTGGAGTACAAATGCTCGTATCATCGCACAAACATTATTTTCCGTCAAGAAAATACGTGACGCATACCCCACCACCTGCGAGTGGCAACGGGGTTATGTGGGACTCCTCTCGACCCGTCCTGCCCGTCCCCTCAGCCAGTCCTGGGACTGGCTCAACGACCGCCCAGGAGGGGGGGGGGGGGCTACCCACTAAAAACCTGACGATGCCCCTCACCTCACTCAGTCCACGGTCCCAACCAGCGTGGTTGAAACAACGGCACTAGATGAGGCTACGGGAACCATTACGGAATCTTCCGCGACCTCACCAGTGAGCGTCCGAGTCGAACGGACACACAACTCTCCCCCCGGAAGAGGGGGGGTTGGGGATGCCCCGGAGCATCATGGGCATCCCTAGCCATCAGCAAAGACCTGTGCACGGCAGGATCTGAACCTCCCAAGTCCAAACCCCGCAGGCCTCTGCCGGGGAGAGCCTGAAGACGACGGGGGTTCACCCGTCTCCTTGCCCTCACCCTCCTACGTCGGAGAGAGTCCGCGTGAGCTTGCTCCTCGTGAACCCTCTCTGCAGCCGCCTTCTGCGAGATGACATCTTCGGCCTGCAAGATCTGTCGCTGCCCAGCATAGCATTTGCTATGCCGCGCAGAGAGAGTTCCCTACCCACTGCCGCTACCAGAGTACGGCGCTGCTGGGACCCCGCCGGACACTCCTCAAGGGTGCGTCGATCGCACAAACATCTGCCCCCACCGGGATTCGAACCCGGGCCTGTCGATTAGGCGACACTTGAAACCCGGCGTACAAACCACTCGACCACGGAGGTTGTGAAATTAAATCGCTGACAATTGCATCAAGTAACGCACTCGAAGAAATAAAAATCCCGCGTAAAAAAAGTCCCCCCGAACAACCGAGGACGCCGAGACACCGGCAGGACAAAAGTAAGCGGGAATCCCCGAAAAAAAGTGTGGGCATCGGGTCGCACCACAGAAGTGATAACTTATTAATCTAAGCGGCGCTGCGGGTTAAGGTGCTGTCCGACGGCTTGTGTTGTTGCGGGCTCGGCCGAGATTTAGCAGGTTCTATACATGACATGAGGTAAATAAAAATCTCGTTTACTATGATATGATATTTGAATAATATTGACTGTTTGTACAAAAACCAAAAATATTATCAGAAAGTGAATAAATGTTCAGTCCACAAAGGATTGATTCAGTAAGTACAGCTTTCTTATGCCATCATAAAGTGTACGAGATTTCTACTTACCTCGTAATATCATGTATAGAGACTGCTAAATCTATACGTTAGAGTTCTCATAAGTTTGGCAATCCTGCGCGGCACGCCAATGATAACACAGGCCGTCGGACAGCATCTTTAGATTGTGAGAGGAGGATCCTGCCTACCGCTGCCGTATGCGTGAGAGGAAGGGAAGCCAGACAGACTTGCTGATACCAAAAACATCACTCGCCCCGCTGCATACTCTGACCCTATCCTCTACCGCGTGGAGTCCTGAAATCCTACTCACAGACAACTTTACTTCCATAACGAGCATTTCTCAAAATTTCCGGTCAACAAATGTCCGCTCAACTTGTGCGTTGAGTCTGTGACAAGTCCTCGGAGGACATGTTTTTCATTATTCAGTGACAGTTGTCCTCGACGCACAAAAGCCCCTCGTCTGCGCAGGCCATAGAGGAATTAGCGCAAGGTAATCGTCTCCTCAATAGATGGCGCTACCTGCGCTGCAATCACAATAGTATGGAAGCCTACATTGCGCAAGTGAAATTCGAAGGCTAACAGTCTATATACAATGCCCGACAATCATCAGTCGGGCCGCGGCCCCCGAGCTACCATCATCCAGCTCGGAGGAAGATCTTCCCCTTTGGCCTTCTTACAACTTTACCTATTATATATTTTTTTAATTATAATTAGATGGTTCAACAGAGTATGTAGTAATATTATGACCATTTCTTTAGAATATTAGGTGGGCACAACATCAGCATCATAGAAGCACCGTACCACGTAAACTACGGGGATATTTGTGGTGCGGTGTTGATACACCAGCAGTGGGCATTGACCGCCGCTCATTGTGGGTGAGTTATCAGCAATCAGCCTAAAGGCGCTGTCCCACAACCTGTGTTGTCGCGGGCGAGGCCACGCTGCGCAATGTTGCCAAACGTATGAGAACTCTAACGTTGGAGATTAAGCAGTCTCTATACATGATAAGAGGCAAATAGCAATCTCGTACACTTTGATATGTGATTTAAACAATGTTGACTGTTTATGTTATGTATTCAAACCAAAATTATTATCAGAAAGTAAATAAATGTCCAGTCCACAAAAGATCGTCTCAGTAAGTACAGATTCATTATGCCATCACTAAATGCATCTTTATTTGTATCATCACCTCGAATCATGTATAAATACTGCTAAATCTCGAACGTTAGAGTTCTCATACGTTTGGCAACCCTGTGCGGCGTGGCATCGCCCGCGACAACACAGGTTGTGGGACAGCGCCTTAATAAATGGGCTCTTATTTGCGACATTAGATAAAAGATCAAATTTTATATGACACGCCTGATGGTAAGCGGCCAGCATAGCATGTACACTCGCTCCGTTGCCTACCCTGACCCTACCAGGTGTCATACCTCTCTTAAATATAAATAGATTGTGAATATTATTTTGTATTGACTTCCTAATTCTGACTTCGTAATTTGACAATAATGATGTTTCATGTAAGTGGTCATTTTAAGCATTCTCATACCATTCACTACATATTTATCATTTCATTTTCTTTTAGCTTCATTTATAAATAAATAATAATAAATATTTCCAACACTAACATCAATTAGCCTAGCCCACAAGTAAGCGCTATAAGGCTTGTGTTATGGGATAATAGGGTAACGGATAGAATTCATATACTGTACATATACAGGGTGTAAAAAATCCTTTAACGAAGTCGAAGGCCACGTAGTTTCCACATGATGTCGATATTTTTTTTCTTCTGGACCATACCTGGGAAACTTATGGTTAAAGAGATATTGAAGGTCAAAGTCATATTTTTTTTTCAAGATTTATACATTAATATTTTCAAAACGTTATTTAGAAACTTTTTTATCATACGTGATACACTTGCACACACGCACACACATACACTCAGGCACATTCTTTGCGTAGCGCCACAGCAGCGCATCGCGCTATACATAGCGTACTGAAAAAAAAATAACTTAAAAATACAAATGATTCCCGCGTATAATATTTTGTAATTGTAGTTTGGGTGTACAGAATGCGTAGTTTTTGTCTTTGTTATGTCCTGAGTAAGTATATTTTTATAGAAATACTTATTAAACATCCGTGACTGAAGAACAAATGCTCGTATTCATCAAACAAAAATCTGCCCCACCGGGATTTGAATCCGGGACCGCTCGAGTCGGCGACACCATGAAACCCGGCGTACAAACCACTCGGCCACAGAGGTCGGTCGTCGACATCGTATTTAAAAGTTTCGAGAACTTTTAGAGAAAACTTTTTAATAAAAGATTAGAAACGAAATCTCTTTTTTTGTAAAGTGGCGTTGAAGAGAGCTGCTTAGAGATATGCTAAAGATGTACGACGAAAATTGTGGTGATGTAAAAAAGGTTTTCATTTAATATAAGTTCGACTATATGTACTCATTTACAATCACGAATGATCATATCATTAATGAGAATATTTGTTTGGCATTTCAGCACCGATTCATCTTACATAAGAGTAGGCAACAAACACCGTTTGAATGGAGCAAGAATTAAAATACTCACACATCTTGTTAACCCGGGCTACGCCAAGCACCATGTCTTTGATTATGATGTCCAACTTTTGAGGTTTCGGAAACTCCATTTCAGTGCAAAGGTTTCTGCCATCGAAATCAGTGGGGATGAACACGCGGATAGTATAATTGTGGCGGGATGGGGTTATGACATGGAAAAAGTAAGTAAAGTTTAATAAGACTTTTTGGCGGGATCGGGAAGCGTCACTTAAGCAGTTTTGTTTTTCTTCTTAAAAATTGTGTTGTGGCGAATGTTAGTGTCTAATTATGTTGGATTATTAACCACTATGTGTTCGGGAGCATGCACAAGTGTTGGCAAGTGAAACAAAATAGCGGAAGGTGTCTTTCGACGTTCCCACAAGAAGTCCACGGGGAGGTTCCAGTTAATCCCCACACATTTACTGAAACATAGGGAAAGGGGGATTGACTAAACTGCCACTTACTTTGACTTGATTTATTACTTTGACCACGAGTTCTATAGAATTTGTAAACATTTTAACACTTGACATTGGCTAAATGCACAAGCCGTGCGAAGCCATTTAGGTAAATAAAGTTTAATGAATTTTATTAGAAATATTCAGGCTTGCAGCCTTGCTATCATAAAATAAATAAATAAGAAACCAGAACCCGAGCGTAGGCGAACTGATCTTCTTTTTCTTGCAACGGTCATTTCCGCAACTCGATGTCCTTATGGCACCTGTTTGTGTGAGGAGGGTGTGTTGCCGGTTTCACTCCAGCCAGCCCTGCTCCGTCAGGAACGCCCTCAGGTTTTCCACATTGGTGATCGTCAGTTTGACAACTGGCTGAATGTTCTAACGAGCGACAACTATCAGTTTAGGTAACATCTTGTTGTGGGTTACGCTTTGCGACATACATATTTACATCGCGTCTTTTGTGTTTGACATAATAAAGTTTAAAACTCCGCAATACTTATTCAATAAACTTAAATTCTCGTCATTCCAAGAGATTGCCCGAGTTACCCGTAAGCCTGTGGAGAGCACTATTCACAGAACTACGGCTTTCCGTGGCAGCTTCCGCTTCCTGGCTACCAAATGTTGGAACGATTTGCCTCCACCTATGAGAAAACGAGCTTCCAAATTCACTTTTAAAAAGCAGATAAAAATATATTTTTTAGAAATCCAAAAATTATGCATACCAAAGTTTTATGTGTGGCAGGGTAGGTAGCGTTTGCCGAACAGTTTCTGGGTATTACTTCTGCTTCTACTTATACATTAAATAATTCATGTGTAATTATAGTTTTATTATAACTATAATTACACATGAATTATTTATATGAATGCATGATATCATAAAATTTTATCTTCAGTATTCGACTCTATAATTTAGTTAATCTGTGCTTGTCGCCACTGCATTTTCATGGCTGCTTTTTCTTTTCTCCTTGCAAAATCTTTTAAATGTTTACTAATAAAGCTAATCTACTCTCTCAAGAAGATGATGGCTGAAAATCGGTGTTTTTCCTTAAAACTGGCATATGTTTATTATTTTTTGCTTTCTGAAGCATACATATGGGTATTCATGGCTGATTTCCTGTATCTTTTAATTTTTTTTATTGTGTTAGTGCGACTAGTGTGTGTATAATGAAGAAAAACATTAACGAATTATCTATCATCATCTATCTATATAATCACCCAGACTTACATTTCATGCTCGTACAATAATAATTTCCGTACCAGGATTCGAACCCAGGACCACACAGGGTAGTCACACCATACAGTAGGCGACAGCTTTTAAACCGGCGCGGCGGTACATCGTACTTTACAGTGGATGTAAAGTGTGTTATTTACTCATTAAACACTTTAGGGAGATTACAAAGAATTCCTGCAAGAAATCAAGTTGAATATTGTACCATTGGAGGAGTGCCAAAGAGTTGACAAATTTTGGTACAACTATACACTGACGACGAGAATGTTCTGTGCTGGTGGACCTGGAAAGGATGCTTGTCAGGTAATCATAGTATTTGCTTAACTAATTTTCCGGGATAAAAAATGAGTCAATCAAGGTAATAAACTATGTTTGTGACAAATTTCATCCAAAACCGTTCAGGCATTTTTGCATGATTGAGTAACAAACATACAAACTATTAATAAGATAAGCAGCAGCATAGGATAAGCTTATTTGCCATCCTTTTAACTTAAAAAAAACCTTCGTGTACTTAAATACAGAAACAGTATTTAAGACTGAAAAGATGAAACGAAAATCGATATTGAGAAGTCCGATTCGTGTTCCGTTCGGTATGCAAGCGTGGAAGTTAAACAACTTACGCAATGGCTGGTCATCGGGTTGGTGACCGAAAATTTCTTATCTCGAACTCCACCGTGCTTTGAAAAGCACGTTAAGCCGTTGCCGCGTTGTTCCCGGCTGCATATGCAGTCGTTAGCACCACCCAATACGCACTGGGTCCGCGTGGTGGGGCCAGGTCCATTTTCCCTGTTCCATTCATAGAGAAGGCCCGTGCTCTAGCAATGAGGACGTGATGTCGTCAGACTTGATGAAGGGGAGTCAGGTTACAGCCTTCCCAGAGGAAGATGTCCCTTATACTCCGGGACGACAACGTATATTATATAGACAAGTTATACGCCAACATTATTGCTTTTTAATATGGCACAAATATTCTCTGCCCCAACTTCCCTTAGCAACAGCCGCTAATAGACCGCACTAAAGTAGTCTCTTTCACTCTCATGCAAAAAGCAGATTACATCTCGCTCTTTAGCCTCCAGGTGTCAAGGTGTCAGCAACTTTCAGATTAAGAAATCACTAAATATTTTTGCATTAATTACTTTAAAACTGTACTTCGTTCTTCTTGTATTTAATAGTTCCCGTGTAATCTGTATACTATCTAAAAACACACAGGGCTTTTTGTCTCGAAAAAACGTAAAATATTTTACAGGTTGTAGCAAAGTGTAGCCGCGGCGAGAGAGCGTGCCCGATTGAATGCAAGACGGGCAATTACCTGACTTTCGCATTGCCAAATTAGAAGCGTAGAAGCGTATATGAAGTATCTATAACTATAAAACATCATAGCTCCGGGGTACCTTCATCAGAGGGTCCGTTCGCGGTCAATACCAGTAGGTGTGCGGCCAGTCCTAACATTCGTGGGACCTCGGTCCTCAGAATTCGTGACCGGTGAACGGTGCGGAAGTATTGTCTGGCTTTTACTGGGTAGGGCCTTGTCATTTCAGTGAGTCCATGAAATGAGAGGGAGGAGCCCTCTTAAAAAAACGAGTGTGCTTATGACCACACGATTGAAGTGAAACTTCTTTGGCTCCATCTGTATACATATATATATGTATGTGTGTACAATATATACATGCATGTACATATACATATTTCATTTACTAGATAAAAGAGAAAAAGAGAAAGAAAAAGTGCGCGCGCACTGCTTTCCCTTGCTTATATCCCCCACTCAACTCCCGTTCGCCTCGCCCGAACACACTTTTCATAACTCGTAACGCATTCGCCAGCTTACCCCCTAAGTCAAGCGTGCCGAAATAAGTTTCATTTCAAAAAAAGAGTTGGTGATGACGTTATTTCCAGGGTGATAGTGGCGGTGGAGCCGTGTCTGAAGGCAGGTTGCTTGGCATCTCCTCATTTGGTTTTGGCTGCGGTCGAAATATACCAGGAGTGTATATCAATATAACTGAGAATAGTATACGAAGTTGGATACGTCGATATACAGGAGTATAGCGAATCTCTCTATTTTCTTTACATATTGGATTAGGTAACTTTTTATCAAAAAATAATTAAAAGATAATTTAAACAATTATGTTATACAATACCTGTAAATCTTTAATAAAACCAAAACCAAATATAGGCTTATAAATACAATAGGTACCCGACAAATTGCCGATAAGCTATACCAAACGACAAATATACTTGGTATTGGTATTGGCCTTCGTTCGGCCAACGACCTCCGTGGCCGAGTGGTTAGTACGCCGGGTTTCATGGTGTCGCCGACTCGAGAAGTACCGGGTTCGTATCCCGGTGGGGGCAAATGTTTGTGTGATGAATACGAGCATTTGTACTCCAGTCATGGATGTTTAATATGTATTTCTATGTAAATATACTTATATATGTACAGTATATATATTCTATCCGTTACCCTAGTATCCCATAACACAAGCCTTATAGTGCTTACTTTGGGGCTAGGCTAATTGGTGTGAGTGTTGGAAATATTATTTTATTTAACATAAATAGGCTGCTTTACAGGTTCCGTGTTTACGAGAAATCTGTAAGGGAATCGAAACTTCGGAAATATGTTAAAATATTAAATGCACAGTTTAAACCCTTTTAAAAAGTTTTTTTTTTAATAATTCTTATCCATAGTATTCTTTATTCATAGTTTTATCGCTAGGCTATAAGCAAATGCGCGAATACAACGGGCGATTACTCGCGCCACTCGCTCGCGGTGCCAGTCCTGAGCAAAAATGCACTGGCACGCGTTTTGACGGCCAAGTGAGCATCACAGAGCGTAGAACTGTATTATATTTGACAGCTCTAGTTGCTCAGCGACAAACTAGTGGAGCGAATCCTCGCCGGCAGTTTAAATAGTCATACAATGCAAATCTTCATGTTTACACGGAATGTAGATATAGAAAATATCCGATAATTTAGTCGTTCCTTTGCCGGCGGTGGGACATCTGTACCCCTAGCACGAACCAATATCGAATTCGAATAGTTTGCGAGTGCGAAATGTCATTGTCAAATTTTGTATGGAAACTCGAACAGCAGCGTCACAATGGACGTAACAAGAACTAAAAATCAGTACAAATTTGACAATGACATTTCGAACTCGCAAACGATACGAATCCGATTATGGTTCGTGCTATGGGTCCTGTTCAAAAGAGTTTTTTAAAATAATTGATGTACGAGAAAACATATAAAAAATATTATAAATAAACAGGTTTTTCATCCTCGCAACGACACTAAAAGAGATTATAAAATATGGTATCTGCACGATCGCCAAAAGTTTGCAATTGCAATGCTTTCACGACGCTTGTTTGGATGCTTTCATCGAAATAGTTTTCCGGCCCAAAGAGAAAATAAAAAAAAAAACTAGCAAAGTGCGCGTCCTACTTGCACGCGAAGAGTTCCGTAACACGTAGTTCGATAAAATCGAATTGGAGCGACTGTCTGGGGAAGTGACCTCCACATTACAGAAAATCACAGTAAAATGACAGTACCTACCATCTGATGGTGTTGTGTTTCTGTCTGTGAGTTCTTTGCCCAGGTTCCAGGTCTCCACGGGAGCTACACGGGCATGCCCCAGTAGCCCTCCGCAGCGGATGGGGGGCGGTGCAATGGGCACTAGGCCGCGTATTCAGCCCCCACGCGTGGGCCTTCCTGCGCGCGTCTGCGGGGTCCCCGCAATACCCCGCGAGACCCCTGCCATGTAGCCCCGGCTAGGCCGGAAGGCTGATGGGTGCAGGACGCGGCAGAATCCCTCAACGGGGATCCCGCGATTTCGCACTAAGCAGCTTAGCGGGTATTCGCAGGGTTTTTTAACGGATATTATGCCGTAAAGTGCCTGTAAGAGTTACGGGGTCTTCAATGGGCAGCCACTGCGGGGGCCCGTAAAGCTTACGGGAGCCAGTTGTGAGGTCCGTTCGGCGGTGTGCTTCTTAAAGGCGCCGTTTTCTGTAAATAGAGGGTTTGCATGAGTCAAAAATAAAGTTTACAGGTCTCCACGAGGTAAAGGAATGGGTCAGGGTAGGCAATGGTGCTAGTGATATAGTCGGTATTGCAAGTCTATACGCTATAGTGGCCGTTTACCATCATGAGGGCAATACGTTTGTTTGTCAGCTCAGTCTTTGAGAATTGAATGATTTTATGTTTCTGTTAGAGACTAATGTGCGAGCTCGATGGCGCTGGTAGTTAGCGCGTTTGGCTGCGATCGTTGAAGTTAAGCAACTTTCGCAGTGGTCGGTCATTGGATAGGTGATCAAAAATTTTCTATATCGAGTTTCTCCGTGCTTCGGGAGGCACGTTAAGCTCCCGGCTGCATCTGCAGTAGTTAGCACCCGCCAATCCGCACTGGGCCCGCGTGGTGGGTCATGGCCCAATCTCCCTATTCCATCCATAGGGAAGGCTTGTCCCCCAGCAGTGGGGACATTAATAGACTAATGATGCTGAATGTGATAGGACAGGGATTGAAGTCAGGCCGACAAAGCGAGGGTGACTTTACGGCACCTCCTGTCTGCCATCTCAGTTATATTTGCGACTGGATTCTAACACTTATAGTTACTACAGGTGGGGTTCATAATTTGTTGCGCCCTTTTTGAAATAAAAACGATACATGATGCTGATGCAGCTCACTGACAGACAGAGGAGCCATCATCATCATCAGCTAACGGACGTCTACTGCTGGACACAGGCCAGGCCTTTTACAATAACAAACAGAGGAATGGACCCTGAAGTCTTATTAATTAGATTCCGTTGAGAAAAAAGGTGCTCTTAGTACGGTACCCTAACAGGTAGGCAGTCTACAAGCGTACATTTTATCCGTCCCATAAATCATTGGAAACACCAATATTGTTAAAAGCGTACCTACAATCAGACGAACAGTTAACGGGCGACATCCGAAAATACCGGACGGAAAAATCCCCGCGTATTTCATTTTTCACATGACCCTCCCCCCGTCGCCCCGCCAAACTATCCCCCCACAAATATATATATTTATATATAAAAGGGGGGAGGACCACCCCGCATACCTATATACTATTACGCTTAATATAATTACTGTATACATTTATAAAAGTCATCAGGCGCTTGTGTGCGTCCCGTTTCGCGTAGGCCGTATTTCTGTGTGTTTATTTTATCTGCGTTCGCAGTGTATTGACGCGGGGTGCCCCCCTTTCGGGAGGGGGGGTGGGGGTTGATGACGATGATTCGAGTCTGCGCAGTGTAAGAAAGGGACGGAAACAAAAAGTCTAGGTACGCTATAGTCTAGAAACACCACCCCATGAAACTATAGCCATAAGTGCCACTGTATACCTACATCGCTATTGCAATGATAACATTCCGGTTGATGTAAATTCGGTTGTAGCAATTGTGAAGCGAATAAAATTTATATTATGATATACAAATCATGGATCACCGGCACGCTTTATTCAACCCAAACTAGTTGGTATTCAATTATTGTCAAATAGCACAGAAACAATTTACTAGGTAATATAATTTTACAATACAGTGCTTAATGTTAACAATTTTTCTGTATATCTATGTAATTCACGAAAAATACAACACTTTTTTTAACACAAATATATTTGGATAAATGTGGACTTAATTTTTGTTCTTTGGTGATAATATACACCGATGTAGACAGAAATAGTGTAAGGAAGATTTATGAGTTTCCTCGTGGTTTTGTATTTCTCGAAGCATATATCTATGCATATTTCGACACAGTATTAGTTTGTGATCTTAGAGTTAGAAGTTATAATCATAACGCTGACATAAAATCATCCAAGATGATAAAAAAATAAAATCGAAATTGATGAGCAACTAAGCAACTTTTGCAATGGCCGATCATAGCATGGGTGACCAAAAATGTATTATCGCAAGCACTTTGTGCCCCAGTCTGCAGTCGTTAGGGCCCACCAAGACGCACCGAGCTAGCTAGCGTGAAAGGTCATGGGTCCGTTCTTCCATAAAGAAGGCCTGTGCCCCAACAGTAGTGATAATAAATGGCTTATAATGATGACGTCATTAGATTCACTCATCTAGACAATGAGAAAAACAAATGAAAATTAGACTCATTTTTTAAATTTCGATTTGGAATTATCTTCTTGAAAAAAATATTTTTTTTAGCAAGATACGAATGGTATGTCACAGAAATTTTATTACAAGTTCAGACATACTTTAATGCGAAGAGACTTTTTTCCCGATCTATTACGAGTATTATGGGACATACGTCTCTGCATCTGGAGGTGGGAGCTACTAGCTGTAACACAGTTCTAAAAACTAATATAGCTATGAATGAACATCAATAAAACATGTAACTGTAATAAGTTCCAATAAATATATATTTATTTCATTTTCGAGTCACTACTAGGGGAAATATAATAGTAGGTAACTTCCACCTTACAGAAAACCACAGCAAAATATCAGTAGTTTTTGATGGCGCCATGATTTTGTTGGTGAGTACAAGCCGGCAAAGTGGGGATGGCTGGAGTGGCACATATTCCTGCCACATCAGATTCGCGCTTGAGCTGCACTTACACTTAGCATGGATAAAGTGGAGTAATTGATGCACTTTGTATAAAAAAAAAGTATATACTAGCGGCCGCCTGCAATTTCGTACGCGCGAAGTTAGTTATTTGCACATACTTTTGATCCCAAAAGGGGGTTTATTTCTAAAGATACATTATTAGAACACCTAGAGGTGTTATTAACTCTTTTATTAGAAATATATAACATGTATGCTTTATAGAGCATACATGTTAAATTTCAAGTCTCTTACTTCAAAAACATAGGACTTTCATACAAACTTCCAACCCCCGTATTACCCCCTCAGGGGTGAAGTTTCGTGATAATATGTAGCCTATATGTTAACCCGACTTGTTAATAATATTCGTGCCAAATTTGAAGTGAATCCATGCAGTACTTTTTGAGTTTATCCCGGACATACATACAGACAAACAGACAAAAATTCTAAAAACTATATTTTTGGCTTCGGTATCGATTGTAGAGTAGGGGTGTGATAGTATAAGTATTCTTTTAAAAAAATATTGAATGTACAGTTTTGACTTTTCTACCATTTTATTATATGTATTAATTAAAACCCCTTCATCAGAAGGATTTTGAGATGTTCAGGATAGGATGTCTTTGATATCAGATGTAGCTTCATTTCCGTTTTGAAGAGTCAACCTTAATTATTTATAGTTCCATAAAATATGGTAAAGAAAATCAAATGTGTAAATAACATAACACTCGTATATACCTATATAAACGCAGCCAAAATTGGTCAGTCATCTTCGCTCGCATTGGGTCGAATATCCCTTACAATGAACGCATCCATTTTCCAACTAAAACCAGATGTCAGACTTAAAACACGCTCCGTGTCTAGACTAGTCCCAAAGCTGACCTGTTGCTTCGGGAAATTTTGCCAAAAATAGGGCGAACTTCAGCCAGAGATTAGTATCAGATTCTAATAGACAAGTGTAGTTTACAATGCCGAGTGGTATGTACGCCGAGTTTCATGGTGTCGCCAACTCGAGGCAGATGTTTGTCTGTTGAATTCAGCATTTGGACTGTAGTCATCGATGTTTAATATGTATTTTCTATAGAATTATACTTATATCTGTCCGTTGCCGTAGTAGGTATAATATAACACAAGCCTAGTTGTTTAGTTGTATTAACTAAATTAACTAATAAATTCATACATAGACAAAAAATAAAGTTTCAAAAATCTTCCAATAAAATATCCGAATGCTCAATAAAAGTCTTTCGAAGGTAGCTCGACAAAGTAAATAAAAAATCATTATTCTGACGATGCAGACCTGAAAAGGCTGCGAAATGTCAATAAATAAATAAAGTTCGTGTATTAACCCGTTAAAACTAGTTTTATTTTAATGAGTGATGTGCGTGAAAACCTAAACATATTTAATTATAATTTTGATCCTGAGTATGTGAGGCTTTAGAAGATTGTCCACTACCAAAATTATGGAGTTACGATGATTGGCTGCTTTAATCACATCAGGCGCTCCTTGCGCGAGAAAATGCACAATTCCTGTAGGTATGTGATCAACATGTCACCATTAAAATTTACTATCGATTTTAATTTGATTGTAGCAGTTACTTAGTTTAGTTTTAGTTATTTCAGAAATATGACAACTTCCTCAAACATTTCTAATGGACGATGATCTCAAATAACGTTTAAGCTAAGGATATTAATCAGTTTCCGTGATATCTCGACTTTCGAGACCTTGGGTTCAATCCTCAATGTAGAAACAATTTTGCTTACCTATCTACTTTTCTTCACCTATCTAATTTTCATGAATCGTGATGTAAAGGGCATCTTCGTTGCTTATAATTTTAAAGACACACATACAACTACATACTTAAAGAACAGAGTAAACATTTATTGAAAAAAAACTTTTTTAACAAAAATAAAAAGCAACTTCATAAAAATACTATTAAAACCTAAGAAATAACACAATTTCTTAACTGAAGCACCTACTTTAAAGTTAAATTAAAATTATCTGTCGGTGCCATGCCAATCTAAGTAGTAAATGGAAACTTAGATCTATCAGACTTACCTATCTACATGGTACCGACTCTTCCATTTTGAAGTCAGATAAAAAAATCTCGTTTGCTAATCATACAAAGAACTTATCGGGTCGTACAGTTAATAATGACATTTATAGAGTTTGGGTGGGTCTAATGAGCTGTGACCTTAAAACTCATGG